TCAATGAATGATATCCTCGCATAGGCTTTCGCATAGTCAATGAATGATATCCTCGCATAGGCTTTCGCATAGTCAATGAATGATATCCCCAAAGATATAAAAAATATCTACTATTGTGGGCAAGAATCCCGTAGAAGGAATGGAGTAGCCTTCATAGTCAACAAAAGAGTGGGAAAAGCTGTAATGGGATACAATCTCAAAAATGATAGAATTATGTCAATATGAATCCAAGGCAGACCTTTCAACATCACAGTAACCCAGCATTAATGCAGCAACCATGGATGCTGAAGAGGTTGAAATTGACCAATTCTATGAAAACATACATCTTCTAGAACTGACACCAAAGTAAGATGTTCTTCTCATTATAGGGGACTGGAATGCTAAACTAGGGAATCAAGAGATAAAATGAACAAGTTAAGTGTGGCCTTGGAGTTCAAAATGAAGCAGGGCAAAGGCTAATAGAGTTTTGTCACGAGAACAAGCTCGTCATCACAAACACTCTTTTCCAACAACACAAGAGGCGACTCTACACATGGACATCACCATCGGACACGACTTAGCGACTAAACAACAAAAGAAATCTGCTGTGCTGGGGTTTTTTTTATATACATGAACACCTCTCTTATTTTCCTGCCTTTGGATCGGCTCTTTTTGCCCTCATAACTGACACTCAGTTCTGTCTCAGTGGATGGCGAATTGCAGGAGAAAGTGCTTTACTTTGTTCCCCAAAAAGTAGCATTACTTTGTCTTGGGGCAAAGACCCAACTTAGTAGCTTGTCTGTACTGTCCCCAGTCTCAGAGGTTGACCAGGCTGACCAGTCATCACATCAGCCAGTTTTAACCTTTCCTTGTCCCAGAAATAAAGGCGGAGGGGCAGGGAGAGAACCTTAGCTGTTGCTATCAAGAGGAAAACGTCAGTCATAGGAACCAAAAGGAAGGTTTCTCCCGTTCCCTTCCATGAGTCTGTAGGCATTGTCCTCGGTATCCCTTCATTCGAGACACACAAATTGATTTATAAGGCACACGGTGTGGATCTTTTCCTTCTGACAACCTTCTCCTGCTGTTTCACCGACCCATGGCGGAGAAATTAAAGAAACGGCAGCTTTACAGGAGGCTGGATAGCTCAGTGAGTTCGTATCTGGCTGCCGAGCCAGAGGCTGGGAGTTCAATTCCCCCACGGTGCCTCCTGGGAGTAGGGCCAGCCTGTGTAGCCTTGGGAAACCACTTCTGAGTATTATGTAGCTGGAAAATCCTAGAAAGGGTCGCTTTAAGTCAGGATTGGTTTCACAGCACACAACTATTTTTATTTTTATTACAGTCCACACTGTCCAATGTCATAAACTTAAGAATGTCCTCGAGTTGTGGGAATCACCAAACTCTTCCACGACTGTCTTCTCCAGCATCTGAAACAGAAAAAGACTGAGATGATACTCTTTGTTCTTACTTAATAACAGTGTTCAGCTCTGCAGCAAACATGATTATAAACCCAAACAAGTACAGTGGTGCCTCGCATATCGATCGCTCCGTTTAGCGATGAAATCGCTTTGTGATGCATTTTTTGTGATTGCAAAAGCGATCACTTTGCGATGTTTCCTATGGGGAATTTCCCTTTGCGATGATTGGTTCCCTGCTTTGGGAACCGAGCATCGCAAAGCGACGATTTTAAAACAGCTGATCGGCAGTTTCAAAATGGCCACCGGGTAAACAAAATAGCCACCCGCTGTTTTCTGGGACGGATTCCTTGCTTAAGAGGCAGCGAAAATGGCTGCGCTATGGAGGATCTTCGATGAACGGTGAGTTTTAAGCGCATAGGAACGCATTAATCAGGTTTTAATGCATTTCTATGGGCTTTTTTCGCAATGCGACGTTTTCATTCTGCAGCGATTTTTGCAGAATGAATTAACGTCGCAATGCGAGGCACCACTGTACCTCCAACATTCTCACCTGTGTGGGTTCTTCGGCAGGCAGGAAATTTTCAGCCCCGATGGACGTTTTCTCCATATCCCAAGCATTTAAATGGTTCCTGTCTGATGTGGGTTCTGTGATGAAAAATAAGGAGCCCAGCGCGACCGAGGGTCTTTGCATTTTCCAAGCATTTAAAGGGTTTCTCCCTGCGTGAATCTGCATGTGGGAAACAAGCTCTGTATTCCGACTGAAACGTTGGCCACATTCCAAGCATTTAAGTGGTTTCTCTCCAGTGTGGACCTTCTGATGAAAAATAAGGCTTGAACTGTGACTGTAGCTCTTCCCACACTCCTGACACTTAAACAACTTCTCTCCTCTGTGGATTCTAATATGGGAAGTCAGGCCTCCATTGTGGCTGAAGCTCTTCCCGCATTCTAAGCATCGAAAGGGCTTCTCCCCCGTGTGGGTTTTCTGATGAAACGTCAGGTTGGCACTGTGGCTGAAGCTTTTACCACACTCCAAACAGTTAAATGGTTTCTCTCCTGAGTGGATCCTTTGATGGGAACTCAGAGTGCTTCGAAGGCTGAAGCTCTTTCCACACTCCAGGCATTCAAACGGCTTCTCCCCGGTGTGGATTCTGACGTGGGAAGCAAGGTTTGTGCTCTGACTGAAGCTCTTCCCACACTCCAGGCATTTAAAGGGTTTCTCCCCCGTATGGATTCTCATGTGGGGATTGAGGTATCGGCTCTGACCAAAACACTTCCCGCATTCTGCGCATTCGAAGGGTTTCTCCCCGGTGTGGACTCTCCTGTGGGAAGAGTAGTTGGTGATGTACCTGAAATTCTTCCCACATTCGAGGCATTCAAAGGGTTTCTCCCCCGTGTGGATCCTCATGTGGGAGCAGAGGCTTGTGCTCCGGGTGAAGCTCTTCCCACAATCTAAGCATCTAAATGGCTTCTCTTTTCTACGGTCCGTCAGATGTGTTTGAGCAGACGGATTATCACAAAGGCACTCTGAGCATGTAAGTGGCTTCTCCCTCATGCCTTTTTTCCAGAGAGTATTTAAACTATCTTCATACTTCAGGTTTTTCTTGCACACAGAGCAGGAAAAAACTTCATTGCTTTGCTCTGTTCTTCCTCGGCGTGATATTTTGTCGGATTTCTTTTCAAGCTGAGAACGGGTGTCACTCATTCTCTTCTGTTCCACTTCAGTTTTCTTTCTCTTCTGTCGTTTCCCCTCCTTCTTGGTGATTCTCTTCAAACAGATCTGAAGCTGTTCTTTCTCATTCCTGTTCCTTCTTGTATCAGGTGCTGAAAAAAGTAAAAAAAAAAAAATCTAACTGGACTGAAAATGAAAAACAGCGTTTAAGCTAGGAACAAATCTAACTAATGTCAAATTGTGATGGAATACACATCCTAAAGGTGAAACGTGAGAGGCTTAGCTAGGCCTAGCTCCAACTAGCTTCCTGTTCTGAAAGAAAGTTCCCAGCAAGCACTGGGGAAAAAACAAGAAGCTTGGATGAAGCTAGGCCGAGCTAAGCCCAAAAGTCTTCCAGTTGAGGCCTTTTGCCCAGGTGAGGCAACCAGCAAAACATTTGTTTAGTTATATAACTAAACAAATGTTTTGCTGCTGGGTGGCACACACATATATATATTTTAATATATATTTTATATATAAAGTTTTAATGCTTACTTACAAGGCCCTAAACGGTTTAGGACCTCAATATTTGGCGGAGCACCTGCTCCCACCAAGGTCTACCCGGATCACCCGAGCGAGTCAGGAGGTGAGGCTGAGGAGCCTGACGCCGAGAGAGGCCCAGAAGGAGAAAACTCGAAATCGGGCCTTCTCAGCGGTAGCTCCTTGCCTTTGGAACAATCTCCCTCCAGAGATTCGCGCGGCCCCCATACTGGGTATCTTTAAAAATCAATGAAAAACATGGATGCTTATTCAGGCCTTCCCTGCAGTCAATACTTGAACCTTTTCTTTTTATTAATTCTATAATTGTTGTTTTTCTTAGTGTTTTATGTTGCATTGGAAGCCGCCTAGAGTGGTCGCAAGACCAGATAGGCGGGATACAAATAAAATATGCACGCCGCTCACTCTACCCAAAGGTCTCTAGGTGGCTTGCAACAATTAAAATAGAATAAAAAGATAAAACAATTAAAATACTATTAAAATAGATACTCTAAAACTGCCATCAGGACATGCAGTGAAAGAAGCACACATGCTATGTACAGTGGGGTCTCTACTTAAGAACGTCCCTACTTAAGAACAATTCCACTTAAGAACAGCTCCGTTTGCTAAATTTTGCTTCTACTTGAGAACAAAAATCCAAGATAAGAACAGGAAAAAACCCTTTCTTGCTCTTTTTTTAACCTTAGGTCATCTTAGGTTAAAAAAAATTCTCCCCCTAGTGGTAGAGTACGTATTAACCAGCTTTGCATTAGTTCCTATGGGAACTAATGCTTCAATGTACAAACGCACCTCTACATAACAAAAAAACAGCCAGAACGGATTAATTGGTTTTCAGTCCATTGCTTCAAAATTAGCTTCGTCAGAAGTGCTTTTAACACTGTTCCCTGACTTAAGGGAAAAAAAGAAAAAAATTGCCCCTCTAGTGGTAGAAGGCGGAATAGCAGCTTCCCATTAGTTTCTATGGACGGAAAAGAGCAGATACGGATTAAATGGTTTTCAATGCATTCCTATGGGAAATGCAGATTCTACATAAGAACTTTTCCACTTGAGAACCACCTTCCAATACGGATTAAGTTCTTAAGTAGAGACCCCACTGTATTTTGTTTTGATTCAGATACTGGTTTTATCAACAAAAACAAAAGAACAACGCAAAACAACAAAAACAAAAATCCTGTGCTACCTTTATGGCTAACAAACAAGTGAAATACCATCATCATCATATTGCAACATTTTCCAGGATTTTTGAGAGCTCAGAAGTGGTTTCCCATTCCCTTCTTCTGGGGGACTCCTGGGACTGTGCAGCTGGCCCAAAGCCTCACAGGCTGGCTCTGGTCACAGGGGGCCCCGTGGGGGAAATCAAACTCACAACCTCTGGTTCTATAGCCAGAGAACTAACTCCCTCACCTATCCAGCCAGCTTAATTCTAATATGATGTATTTCAACAAATAATTACAATCTGCCTCTTCAGACACAAAACCATGAAGGACCACAATCCACAGATATGTACACTGACTAATGCATCTCTCTCTCTCTCTCAAGATGGCTTAAGCCAACGTTTCGGGGTGGGGAAGCCTACCTAAAGACACCAGGTGGGCCAAATTCTCCTCCACGACTTCCCGGTGGAGAGCCTTTTGGCCCGGATCCAGCAGAGTCCACTCCTCCTCTGAGAAATACACAGCAACGTCCTGGAAGGTTACTGGATCCTGAAAGAAGCAGCAGTGTTACAGCTTCAGGGAAAGCACACAACCATTCCCAACCTTACCGAGTACACTTCCGAAGAGACTTAAGGTCTCAGAAGTTGGGAGTTCGATTCCCGCCCCCCACCCCTCGGTGCCTCCTTGAAAGGGCCTGGATTTGAACCTGTGGTTCGAAGATGATTGTTATTGAAATGACGGGGGCACAGAATGCATATTGCACTCTTAGCTGACTGTGTCCTCAGTCTCCCTATCATCCAGTTCAAATGAAAGGGGGCAAATTCTTTTAGGTCACATAGGTGTTGAACAGGGAGAAGCACTAAGGCTGCCCCTCCTCATACATTCTCTCCTCACCTGGTCTGGTTGCACAGATTCTGCTTCCAATCCTCCACAAAGAAGAGATGAATAATTGTGGATTCCCACCAAATTTTCAATGCCTGCAAGGGAGACCAAAGGAGTAGGAAAATGCTTATTCACTATACAAATTATATTCCTAATTAGAGCTTCATTTTTTTAAATTCTTAATTAGAGCTTTTTTTAAATAAAAGGTATTTTCCCCTGTTCTGATTAGCCAATGCTTCAGCATCTCAGTGGTCTCAGAGGGACTAAAACACATAACTAGTAGTCTTGTGGCAGATACGAGCAAAATCAAGAACACTTCTTTTACCTGGTAAAGGGGCTCCTCCTTCCTTCTCCTGCGTCTTCTGTCTTGTGTCGGAGGGGGATCCGGCTGTCTGAGGGAAGGCGGCAGCTAATTCTGAAGGCTCCTGCATTCAAAACAAAATGTAGACATCTGAGAGAAAATTGGGAAATGAAAATGAAAAAAACAACGGCAGAGGAAAAGAGTGTTAAACTTGAAAAGAGGTAGGGAACAATGGGATAGACAATTTACAATAATGGATGGGCTCATTTCCAGCCCTAAAGGAAAACCTGAATTCTCCACAGCTGCTCTTCCTCTTGCTTCTTATCGGCTTCCTGGCTCAGGAGGAAACCTTCCGCCAGGGGCATCCAAGAGAAAATTGGGAAATGAAACCAGAAAAAAAAATAACAGTAAAGAGTGCTGAACTTGAAAAGAGGTAGGGAACATGGGATAAACAATTTACAATAATGGGTGGGCTCATTTCCAGCCCTAAAAGAAGACCTGAACTCTCCACAGCTGCCTTTCCTCTTCCTTCTTATCGGCTTCTTGGCTCAGGAGGAAACCTTCCGCCAGGGACACGGCCTGGGAAGTGGATTCTGGCTTGCACTCTCTGACCCAGATCCCCATCTTTGCTGGAAGGACAGTCAAGAATTGTTCAAGGATGATCAAGTCAAGCATCTCAGCCTTGGTGTGTTTTTCTGGCTTCAGCCACTGGCAGCAGAGATGGTGGAGTTGGCTACAAATGGCCCGAGGAACATTCGTAGTCTGGTAGCAGAACTCCCGGAAATGCTGGCGTTGGACTTCTGGGTTGAGGCGCTCCTCATCTAGGTTTGTCTGTGCAGTTTTCTGCAGGGATTCCTCGCTAGTCCTAATCTCCATGTCTTTTCTGGCTTCCAGAAAAGCTGAGCCTCCCTCTTCGGCCTCCAGCACAAACAGGTTTCAGAAGTATCAAAGGAAGGATGACAAGAGGCCACTTTCTCTGTGGAAAAAAGGCAGACAAAGTCCAAGTCTCAGGAAGAGCTCACGAAGGACGACTCGCTCACTCCCCACCTCATCTCCTTTCTGTCAGTCTGCTTTCCTCTTCCTACCATGCTTGTCACAAAAATGAATTTCTCTCTGACCTATACAAGCATTACCGATACAAACCACCATAGAACTCACTCAACCCAACACTCTCACTATCGGGAAAGGATTCTTAGGGGAAATGCATATCCTCATGATTCATAACAGCCACAACCCTTGGGATTTCTTCACCGCTAAGGCATGTATACAAGCGTTACCGATACAAAACACCACAGAACTCACTCAACCCAACAGTCTTACTATCAGGAAAGGATTCTTATGGGAAATGCATATCCTTCTGATTCATAACAGCCACAATCCTTGGGATTTCTTCACCGCTAAGGCATATTAGAAGGGTTCTGAGTCGGAAATCATGCCACTCAAGCCACCTTGAGGTTTTCGGTAATCAGATTCAATCCTAGAAGTCACTTAATAGAATTTGAAGCAGAGCAGGAAGATCAAAGATTAATCAAGTAAAATGGGGCTACTTGGATTCAGGACAAATGTTCTGTGACTGTGGAGGAATTCAATCCAGAGTTGTTTTCCAGCTCTTTGGACTGCTGCCACCAGAGCTATTCTGCCAAGAAGGCTCACGAGACAAGAGGCCTGTGCTCCACCCAAGTACAGGCACGTTGGGTCCTTGCAATCCTCAGCACACACCACCCCATGCCATGCCCCTGGCTTTTTGGTGCACTGGCACCACATAGAAATGCGTAAAAATGGGGCTGAGATGGGTGCCCAGACTAAGCCAACCTCACAAATAATTATGTTTTTGTATTATTGAAGGCTTTCAAGGCCGGGATCTGATGGTTGTTGTGGGTTTTTCGGGCTCCTTATACATCCGCCACGACCACCTTCCCAGTCTGCTTCCTCCCAGTGCACCCAAACACAGCCTTCAGAGCCCAAAAAAACCCACAACAACTAATTATGTTTTTCTTTCCTTCTCCTGCACTACCTGTCCTGAGATTTCTCAACCCATCTGGAACAAAAATGAACCAATTTCCCTGAGTTATATGAAGGGACACGGCTCGACTGACCCTCCTTACATCCACCACGACCACCATTCCCAGTCTGCTTCCTCCCAGTGCACCCACAGCTGTGCAGATGCCAATCACTGGGGAACTGGTTTCCAACTAGTGAGAGGAGGGTGAGATCCGTGGGGAAGGCTCCGTTTTGCAAGCTGGAAGGGAGGCGGTGCTGAATATAGGGGGCGATGCCCAGGGGAGGCTCACCTGCCCCTGCCTGGGCGGGGAGGAAGGGGCGTCTGGTTCCACCAGGGACTCCCTGCCAGCCCGGGTTCCTCTTCTCTGCCCCCCAACCCTTCCCTGCTTTCCCCTCAAAGAGCCACGCCAAGGCGCCCCCCTCCTGCAAGCCCTGCCCCACCGCCTCCACCCGGAGCTCACCGGCTGCCCCACTCCCCCAAGCAGGAGGCCCCTGAACCCCCGCCCGGAACTCGCGAGACGGGTCTCTGCCGGGATGGAAAAAGGAGACGCACCGCAGAGGCGGAAACAGGAAGTACGTCTTCAGCACGCTGCTCGCCTCCCTTTGGGGGACTCTCTGGCACTTTGAGATCAATGGCTTTAACCCTTTAAGGAGGAACGCAGAAAGCTGGAGGGGGCACCTTTGAAGCACCGAGGGTTTCTGGGGCCAAGGGCTTTTTCTCCAGACAGTCAGCCGTACGATCTTGTCTATCCTGGGATGGGTGAAACGAGGGGAGAGTTATGAGGAAGACCAGGAACCAACTTGGAGCCAGTTCCTCCCAACCCTCCAGTCTGCCCATCACCACCACCATCATCATCATCAGCAGCAGCAGCAGCAGCAGCAGCAGCAGCAGCAGCAGCAGCAGCAGCAGCAATAGAGGAATATTACAAGGGGATTCTTTGTTTCATATCTTACTAATCCCCATGTCAATAGGTTTAATTGAAACTGGATTGGGCTACCATATTTCAGAACAAGCAGGGGGGAAAAATCAATCATCTTTCATACTTGGATGACTTAAAACTATATGCAAGAAATTCCACTGAAATAGAACCACCGCTAAACATGGTACGAAGATTTAGTGAAGTGATTGAAATGAAATTTGGAATTGACAAATGTGCAGGTCTATCTATACACCGTGGGAAGATCCAAAAACTAGATGGGCTAGAGTTTAAAAATCACTATCAAATGATGACAATTATAAACATCTTGAAATACTAGAAGCAGATCCTGCACACAAAAGTTAAAGAACCGACAGAAAGGGAATATCAAACGACTGTGGAATATCTTTAAATCAAAATTAAATGGTGGAAATAAATTCAAAGTCATAAACACATGGGCAGTTCCAGTAATTAGGTTGTTGTTTAGTCATTAAGTCGTGTCCGACTCTTCGTGACCCCTTGGACCAGAGCTCGCCAGGCCCTCTTGTCTTCCACTGCCTCCCGGAGTTGAGTCAAAGTCATGTTGGTTGCTTCAATGACACTGTCCAACCATCTTGTCCTCTGTTGTCCCCTTCTCCTCTTGCCTTCACATTTTCCCAACATCAGGGTCTTTTCCAGAGAGTCTTCTCATGAGATGGCCAAACTATTGGAGCCTCAGCTTCAGGTTCTGTCCTTCCAGTGAGCGCTCAGGGTTGATTAGATTCCCAGTGGGAATAATAGATGGGACCCAAAATGAATTAGAAAAATTGGCTCAAAAAACACAGAAACTAATGAACATGCATCCATCATGCACTGCATCCAAAAAGTGATCTGGACACCTTATATTTAGCACAAAAAATTGGAAGCAGTGGGTTACTGCAAATACAACAGGTAGAAGAGGAGGAAAAAAATAAGCCTAAATGATTATATTAGTGCAAGTATTATATTAGTACAAATAGAGAAAATTTACTTAAGGCGGTGAAAATGGAGAACATTTTGAAAACAACAGAAGCAAAAGATTAATATAAGAAACAACAATTTGAAAATAAATTAAATGGTTGGAAAAACAAACCACTACACAGACAGCATCTGAGAATATTGATGGAAGGCCGCTTAATATAAGAAACAACAATTTGAATATAAACGCTTGGAAAAATAAACCACTACATAGACAGCATCTGAGAATATTGATGGAAGGCATGACAGCATGACAGTAATTCAGCACTGGCACGGCTAAAACTGGGGACCCTTAAGAAAGAATTAACTGCCCAGAGAGTGCTTTAAGATCTATGATTGGTATATAAGAAGCATACTTTGCTTTTTTTACTGTCTCTAGTCGCATGCTTCTCCTTTCAGCATTGTTAATAACAACCTGGTTTTGAAGTTCCCGAAGTTTTGAGGTTTTTCGAGTTGCTAGGATCAGCACTGGCTATTTGAAGGCTTTGTAATTTCAGATCAATGTACCCACTCCTTTCACTTATGCTTTAGAATAGCTGGAGGTTTAAGATACACTGGCCTCTTGCTTCTTTCACATATGCTGAGTTTAACATATCATACAGAGCAATGTTTATGTGATTTTAGTCTTCCACTGAAAACACATCTCTAAGTGAGCTGCAGCAATACATACTGCGAAGTGACAAAATAAATGTATTCAGCAGTGATTCCCAGTCTTCTGATGTTCTTGGACTGCGATTCCCAGAAGCCTTCACCACTAGCTGTGCTGGTCAGGGTTCCTCGAAGTTGCAGTCCAAGAACATCTGGGTTAACCAAGGTTGGGAACCACTGCTCTAGAGGAGAGAAATTAGTTTGGAAAGGAAAGGGTGTCACACATTTTGTATTTCTAGATTCTAGAATATATCTCAGAGCTGCATAAATCAAAGACCAAGAAAATCTGAGTCAGTTTTTCGTACAACACACTTTAACAAAAACTTGTTTGTGACCTCTGTACTAGGAAAAGACAGGGCCTTATGTCAGAGTCAAGACTGTTCCATGATGCCAATACTGTAAGTTGGTAATAGCACGATATGTAGAGTCCTCAGTGTGTGGTACGGTTTAATTTGAATGAAACAACTGATAGCCATTAGCAGTTCAGTTATTTCTATTCTGAAATTTATTCTGACCATCAAATTCCAATATTCTAATTTGTAAGTTTTTCTGCGACTTGAAATTGTTGCTGTAGAATTACTTAAAAAGACATTGTTAGCAAGATAGCAGTTTAACTGAAAAGGTCATTTTTGGGATTGGAAATTGCGAATGAAATTACAAGAAATCCTATTATAATGGTAGAAGCAGAAAAGACAAAACCATCTTGATCATCTGCCCTCTTGCAGCTCTAAAGTTTTTACTACTGAAACTGCTTAACAAATCACGCTAGAGCGTCAGCCACAATTGTTGTTCATGCAAACAGTTCGTGGTACTGTTTAATATTTTGCAAGAGACCAGTTGACCTTCTTGTTGAAGTGGAATACTTATTTGCCACATCTTCTAGTTAGCAACTTTTTGAGTGTTGCTAAGCCTTTGTATTATAGCTAAGGTAGACTGGATTGACCTTTGGATTCACCATACCAGGTGGAAGGATTTTTTATTAAATTCACAAACACACCCCAGAAGAAACAAAAGGGAGGTTCAGATGTGTCTGGCAAGACAGCAGCTAAAGTCTCCACAACACAAGGATAGATAGCACAGAACAGAAGAAAAATTAAAGCTTCAGAATCCTCAGAGACAAACATTTGGCTTGTAGAAATTTTACTTGGACTGAAATTAAAATTGAAGAACATCGACCACAAAAATTGGACAACAGTATCAACTGATAGTTTAGCATGTCTGATTCCAAGTTAAGAATTAGGTATTATCCCAAAGTGATATGGTTAATATTTCTTGTTTTTACTACAGTGTGTACTACCTCCTATGAATATTATTGTTGTAAAAGTCACCATTGCTCTGTAAATATTTATAGCAAGCTGTTGCTATGGCTACTGCATATAAAATCTGAAAGTTTAGAGGTGGTCCTTCGAAGGGCAAGCAAAATCATGCCAATTCAGGCCAACCCAGCCCAAAAGATGAAACTATAGAAATGGGAATTAAACTGAGGAAAGAAGTATAAACCCAAATACTCCTTTAGGAGTTCAACCCACGGGAGATGCATATTAATTGGAGGTAAAAATATAAAGAGTTGATCAACAGCTATCCACTTCTTGATTAATTAATTAAAATGCATTAATGTAAAATATTTTGACCCCACCTTTCTCCTTAAAAAGACTCAAAGCTTTATTTGTTACTTTCTTGTATGTTAACCTGCTTCATTGAAATTACCCAGTCATCTTTACTTAGCAATAACAGTGGCAGAAATTATTGTTTCCTTTCTACAAGATTAGAGCCGTGTGCAAAGCCTTCCTTATAAGGCAACTGTCAACTACTGGTTTCCAGGTGTCAGTTCCTGATTGGTCGGTTCCATCTGAGGGAAAGCTATAAAAGGTTCAAGGTTCTGCAGTGGTTTTGTGAGGTGTACCTCCTTGGAACTGGCTGTACTTATTTACAAGTAAATAAGATGTCTTTTTACCTCACTCCCTGTGGGTTGATTTTGGTGTCTCCAGTTTCTGCACTAAGAGAATGAACCTCAGATTCATTAAATTTCAGGTTTCTTTCTTTTTACCCTCTTGGCCAATGAATCCTGCAGTTATATGGCATCAAGTCCCTTCCAAACCATGGCGACGGAATGAGAGATGTTCCAAAAGACCTCACATTGACAACTTTACTCAGCTCTTATAAACCATGTGACTCTGACTCAATCTGCCCCATATACAATTTTTTTCTTGCCTCCAGCATATCATAGCATTATTGAATCTACTTTTTGTACAGTATAATTTCCTCTCTTTTTTTTCATACAGGTTCCAGAAACAGACTTCAAGAAAGCTACAGGGAACACAAAGAAGAAATCCTGGTGTGTTAAAATGCTTTAAGTATGCGAAATCTTGGGTTATTAACAGATCAGGCAGAGGAGCCTTCTCCCTCCCTGGGAATCTTCCTCTTTTCAACACAATCTTTGTCTGAAACCATGTCTGTTTGTAAAACAAGGGTATGTTCAGGAGAAAGTCCTTCCTGGCGAGGAGATGTTGGAGACCCGCCCCAGGCATCCGTATTTAATCCTATGACGGTCAACTAGAAGCATCTTTTCACTGGTCTCTTCAACATAACAGAACCCTCTCATGTCTTGAGCATTGCCTAAGTATTTCTGCTTGTGTTGGAAACGGGAGGTGAGAAGAATGTAACAGACTTGAGAAATCATGCCCTCAGGATGCACCCTACTCTTTTATTACAGTCCCTGTCCTGGACTTCCGCAGAATACTGTATAATGTCTTCCACTTACATATATAGTACATGGAATGTTGAGACTATGGAGATATATCTGCATTATTCTCAGCTGTATGGATTTTTTCATGGCTTGTAAATGGTACACCCTCCCCTGGATTTTCTGTACACTCCACAAACGTCCACAGCATCTCCCTCTCTCTGTGGGTTTCGAGATGAACAGGGAGGTGTGCACGCTGACTGAAGCGCTTCCCACATTCCAAGCATGTAAATGGTTTCTCCCCTGTGTGGATTCTCATATGAGGGGCAAGGGCTGTGCTATGACTGAAGCTCTTCCCACACTCCAGGCATTTAAAGGGTTTCTCCCCAGTGTGGCTTCTCATATGGCGAGCAAGATGTGTCCTCTGATTGAAGCACTTTCCACATTCCAAGCATGCAAATGGCTTCTCCCCTGTGTGCATTATCATATGATATTTAAGACTTGTATTGTGACTGAAGCTCTTCCCACATTCCAGGCATTTAAATGGTTTCTCCCCTGTGTGCTTTATCATGTGATATTTAAGACTTGTGCTATGGCTGAAGCTTTCCCCGCATTCCAAGCATTTAAAGGGTTTCTCCCCTGTGTGGATTCTCATATGGGAAGCCAAGTATGTGCTCTGACTGAAGCTCTTTTCACATTCTGAGCATGTAAATGGTTTCTCCCCAGTGTGGATTTTCTTATGGCAAGCAAGTTGTGAGCTCTGACTGAAGCATTTCCCACATTCTACACATTTAAATGGCTTCTCTCCAGTGTGTGTTCTCATATGGGAAGCAAGGCTTGAGTTCTGCCTGAAGTTCTTTCCACATTCCAAGCACTGAAAAGGCTTTTCCCCTGTGTGGATTCTCATATGCGCATGGAAGCTTGCGCCCTGACGGAAACTCTTCTCACAGTGCATGCATTTAAATGGTTTCTCCCCTGTGTGGATTTTCATATGCAAAAGAAGGCTATATTTATATCCAAAGCTGTTCCCACATTCTGAGCAGTCAAACAGTTTCTCTCCTGTGTGGATTTTTCTGTGGCAACGCAGGTTCTTTCTTTCCCTGAAGCTCTTTCCACATTCTGTGCATTTAAAGGGTTTGTCCCCTGTGTGGATTCTTACATGGGAACGAAGGGTTGCCTTATCCCGAAAGCTCTTCCCACAATCTGAGCATTCGAATGGTTTCTCCTGCGTGTGGATTCTTTCATGGGAAAGAAGGGTATCTTTACGAGTGAAACTTTTCCCACATTCCAAACATGTAAAAGGTTTCTCCCCGGTGTGGATTTTCATGTGGGAAACAAGGTATTTGCAGCGACGGAAGCACTTCCCACATTCTGGGCATGGAAAGGAAGTCATCTCGGGGTGGATTCTCAAATGGCGAGCAAGGTCGGTGCTCTCACTGAACTGCTTTCCACATTCTGAGCATTCAAATGGTTTCTCCCCTGTGTGGAGTCTCACATGACAAGTGAGATCTGGGTCTGTGCTCTGACTGATGCCCTTTTCAGAGCCTACGTAGCTAAGCATTTCCTTTTCTCTCTGCTTCGTCCTATCTCTTTCTGGAGATGAAGTATGACAAAACTCCTCACTGTACTCTGAGCTTTCCACCATTTTGCTCCCTCGTTGGATCTCCCACTGAGCATTTAGACTGGCCTGACATTGGAAAATTTCCTTGCACACCGAGTCCTTGAGACTTTCGTTACTTTGGTTTGTTTCTTCTGGCACAGAATGTTCACAGAAGTTTCTGTGTGGAAAAGGAAAGGACTCGTCCCTCTGCTCCCCAATTTCAGTTTTTATTCCCTGGGGTTTCTCCTCCTCAGTTACTTTTTCAAAGCATACTTGAAGTGGTTCTTCCTTAAACTTGCCTTCAGTCACGCTAGCAGCTGAAAGAAGAAACAAAAATCTGGCTGTACTGAAAATGGAAACAAACAATACAGGAAACAAACTCTGAACTACAATTAACTAGAAATGTATCACATGCAGAGGCCCTTTGACTCCACACCCAAACACCCTGGGGAAGAAAGCATCAAGGAGGATGTATAAATGCTACATAACTTGATGTTGTTTGGCTACTCATAAATTGATCTCATCAGCTGATCTTTAATGCATCATAAAGCTTTTAAGACTAACACATTTATCCCAGTGTGACTTTTTGTGGTCCGTTTCTTCAGATACGTTGCCACATAGATTTCAGACTGTGAAAGCCAACACTGAGACGAATTTGCAGCAATACTGTTGTTACCATTTTCCCCCACGGTGTTTATTTTTTGCTGCAAGCAACCAACACAGTTGTCTCACTGAAAATGCCTGTGATGGGAAATAAAGGAACACTTACCCAGAGACACCACATGGGCCAAATTTTCCTCCATGACCTCTCGGTGCAGAGCCCGTTGGCCTGGATCCAGCAGGGCCCACTCCTCCTCCGTGAAAAACACAGCAATGTCTTCAAAAGCGACCGGACCCTGCAAAGAATGAAAACTTCTTATCCTTACAGTTGTCACAATCTGAAATTTGAAAGGCTGTCATACGGAGGAGGGCCAAGATCTGCTCTTGATCATCCCAGAATGAAGGACACGCAACCATGGGCTCAAGTTAAAGGAAGCCAGATTTTGGCTGAATATCAGAAAGAACTTCCTAACAGAGCAGTACGACATGGAACTAGTGACCAGTGGAACTAGTGACCTCGGGAGTGTCCTCGGGACCTTGAATGCACTGGAGGCATTCAAGAAAAACTTGGATAATAATCTGGCAGATATGCTTCGATGGTATTCCTGTGTTGAGCAGGGGGTTGGACTTGATGGCCTTGTAGGCCCCTTCCAACTTCACTTTTCTATGATTCTATGAAAGTATGTTCCAGAAGGCAACAAACATCAACAAAGTTCAGAATTTATCCTTCACATGCCATTAATGGAGACTGCGTTGGTCACCTTGGTGAATGGCCTACATCAGGAACTGGACAAGGGGAGTGTGTCCCTGTTGGTTCTGCTGGACCTCTCAGCAGAATACCACCAACCATGGTATTCTTTTGGACTGTCTCTCTGGGATGGGACTCCGAGGCATTAGTTTTCGTTCGCTTCAGGCTTTCCTGAAGAGAACTGCGAAGGTGGTGCTGGGGGATTCTGGTTTGACATCCTGGCTGCTGGCCTGTGCAGTCCCCTCAGAATTCTCATTTTGTCTCTTATACTGTTTAACATCTACATGATACAATTGGGAGAGGTTGTTCGGAGTTTTGGGGTTCAGTGTCACCAATATGACTACAACAGAGAGACCCTTCTCTGTGGCTGCTACCAGACTGTGGAACTCCCTCCCACAGGAGGCCAAGCTGGCTCCATCTTCGCTGTCCTTCCACAGCCTGATGAAGACCTTTCTCTTCATGCAGGCTTTCCCTCAGGCTGCCTGAGTGTTTTTTTTAAATGGATGGTTGTATGAGAAAGTTCAATTACTCTTGTGTTGAGTTAAATGGATGATGAGAAAGTTCAATTACTCTTGTGTTGAGTTGTTGGAATTCTCTCTCTCTCTCCAGGAACTGATTCCTGCCAGAGTAAATTGAACATGCATTTTTCCAGCAGTTGTGCCTTGCTGCTTTGAATATCTTTTTTGCTCTTGTTAACATTTTTTTAGAGTAGCACTTGGTTTGATCTGTTTTAGTATTCGTATACTTACTGTTTTTAGCTTTAAATTTTGTTTTTTAATGATCTAAGGCAGGCTTGTCCAACCCGTGGCCCAAGGGCCTCATGCGGCCCAGGTCAGCTCGTAATGCGGCCCAGTGCAATTTTTTA